AGCAAACATCTGTTGTGGATTCACTGCTATTAATTTAGCTGATGAACAGTGTTATATACTAACTTGAAGGCACTGTGATGAGTATTTGGGAACCATTTCCACTGTGTAACACTAATGGAATAACATAACGCATATTTTAAAGCTTTCCAAAGGAAAATACTTTTATAGGACAGTCACCGTGCTTTTTTCGGTACCAAATTGAACACCTGGTAGATTCTCTAGCTTGTATTTAATAGAATCAAATATTATAGCAAAATTTACAAGATACTAAGACACAAAAATTTTACTTAGAAATTTAGGTGTTATCATTAAAAAACCCCCACTACTTTTGAGGATATTCTTCATTTCCTCTAAATGTTATCCAAACCAGTCCATTGGTGCTATAATGTGCTAATTTAAATGTTAAAACTTACTAACTATAAAAAAAAAGTTGGGGGCACAGAAATCTAAGTAAAATCACCACAAATCAAATGCCAATTTTTTTTAACCCTCCTCACTCAAGGGTATTTTTTCCATTGGTTTTTAGAGGGAGTGGGGGGAGGGAGGGAAAGAGGCGGAAGGAGGAGAGGGAGAAACACAGCCGTGAGAGAAACACATCGATTGGTTGCCTCCCACATGTGCCCCACCTGGGGCAAGGAAGGAACCTGCAACCCAGGTAACTGCCCTTGACCCGGAAGCAAACCTGCGACGCTTTGGTGCACAGGCCAATGTTCTAACCACAGAGCCACACCGGCCAGGGCTCAAGTACCAATTTTAAGTAACTACAGAAATCAATGGTAAAATTATCTTCTAGGCAGTTTTAAAAACTATACAAACTATTGCATAAAAGCAAACATAGCTATTTAAGTATAATGATTCACAAACCAATTCTGTCCACATAATTTCTTAGTGTCCAAATTTGGGAATATGAACTCACATGCCTAATGTACCCATGCAAGGATATATGAGAACCAAGCCCGAAATACATCTAGCGGCTCAGGCTCTAGGCCACTAATCTTTGACTTTTGCTTTAAATTTTTGGTAACAAAAATTATTGATAAGTAGGAAGCAGTCTCACAAATACCCAATTCTTATTTGTAAATTTCACCATTTACAGCAGTGTTACAAAAATGGGGAGATTCTTTGCATATTAATAATTAAATGTATTTGGCAAGAAAAGAGGCTTTAAATTTCCACAAAAGGAATGAGTCCAACTTAGAATAATTTTTCCCTGAGAAGACATTTTGGATATACTAGTAACAGAGTAGAGATATGTAACACAAACAAACATTTTTTTGGCGTATTTCTTTATTGTTTGAAGCACCAAAGTAACCCACATTTCACATTTACAATGAACATTTTATTTTAATAAAAATATGCTGTACAAAATATTATAGGTCCGTGCTATACACAAGTGAACATTTACACTTACACAGCAAACAGGATGAACTAAATCCCTACCACCTGTAACACTTCTCTCTCCTCAGTGACCCAAAGGCAGACTTACCGTCGGCTTTTATTAAAACCAGCACTTCCTACCAGCCATTATGGAGTGTGAAGCAATAAAAATGAATTTCTTTAAAATAAGCCATAATGAATTACTGTGTATCAAATATTTTATATTTTCAGATTATCAGTTACTAAAATATTCAGTTCTCTATAAATTTGGCAGCTCATGGTTCCAACACTTAAGTCTGATGATCAGAAAATTCCTTAAACCAGTCCACCCTTAAAGCACCCACTGCCTCCTGCCAGTATAATTGGGCCTCACTACAGACTTGGGAGATCTGTTTGGGCCCTGCTACTTAAAAATATTACTGCCACATTTCAGAAATTGAGATCCAAACTAGTTAAGTCTCTCAGTGGTACATTCACCTTCCACTATAAAACTATTTGAGCATCATTAATGAGAATACAGATATGCTGTGCTACTTAAATAAAATACCACTGTGACTAACACACATTTTCTCAGTGAGCCGACTGAGGGAACTTGAATACCGTGTGTGCGCTTGCGATCTGGTCTAATCTACCACGAAACCATCCGAGGCAACCAAGTCACACCCCCCCCCATAAAAAGTTTGTTTCCTTTGTCTGCCAAAAAAGTAACAGTTTAAGACAAATCATAACTAGTGTAATAGCACTTTAGAACTGCAGAGTAGAAATCCCCTCAGGTGTTCTCGGTAGTGTCTGCGACACCATTCGCCGAGCCGAGCCGACCCTGCGGCAGCCCAACTGTCAGCTGTCACGTGTGTGCCCACTGAGCCATCACCACACTGCCTGTAGTTCTCATTCCCCCTTTTCAGGTGAAGAGACTCAAGTTTAGTAGATACTTTACTTACTTCTAAGATTAAGGTTTCTGGTACAGCTCCCGCTTCTTTCTACTCTCATGAGAGAGAACATCAGAGCACCGAGGGCGCGTGAAGGCATCCTGAGCCCAGCCTTCCGCTACTGGGCAAGAGCAGCAGTGCCCACCTGTCACTGACCTTCAGCGCCTGCTGACCATTACATTCCTTTATCAAAAGGGTGGGACTGTGATGAGTCTTTTGGATAAATCTTCCCTTCTCTGCACATACATTAAAAAGGTCCCATTTCTCTGAAAGGTCAAAATTCATGGGATGTTCTTTTCGAGATTTCTAATTGAAGGAACATGGAAGGCTTTCCTTCTCTGACTGAAATTCTTTAAGAATGAATTTCTTTAAAATCAGCCACAATGAATTATTACTGTGTATCAAACATTTTATATTTTCAGGTTATCAGTTACTGAAATTGCATTTCAGTTAAAACTGCTTATTTTAACAAGTTTTCATTTTAATGTTATGTCAAATTTTAAACCTTTCCAGATTTGGAAGAGCCTTCAAATTGTGTTTAGAAACACAGTTTCTCAATTGTATTTTAAAAGTTATGAAGATTATCACAGGCGAAGCATAAACAGCAGGACACTGAAAACCATCCACTCACCCATCCACTTATTCATGTAACAGATGCCCCTCACCGAGCCTCAGTTCTAGCGGGGATGCTGGTGATGAGGATGACCGAATGGACGTCAGGACAGGTATGTCAGGCAGCAGTAAATGCTAAGGAACTTATTTTTCTAGCAATGCTTAGCTTACTAAGTTTATTTTCCATGCTTACCAACTTTCGATCTGTTTTGTTCCATGTGGGATGCAGTTTAAACTACATTTCAGCAGTGGTAAGAAATGAAGGGCAGAGTCTTCATGACCTGATGTTAAATCAGAGGCGGGCTACTTTTTCCTCAAGGTTGTCGGACAGGTCTACACTCTCGGAGACATCTTCTCACTCACTCACTCAGTTTTGTAAATGGTCTCAGGGGGCCCAACACCCATGGATGCTAGACTAGAACACTTCACTTCCAACGGAATTCACAGGGATGGGGCGAAAGAAAGGGGTTGATCCAAAAATTCTATCCAACCCAGTTTCCATGATTCTTGTGAAACCATCTTATTACCAATATGAAAACAAAACATAACAAAACTCAGATCCAAAGATGTTAAGTTTCCCGGCTACTAGTCCAGTGTTCCTTCTATTACGATTTCCAGGGCGTAGGCCTCTTAAGCAATCTCCTCATTAAACAAATCCTTTGCCATCATTATTATGACTACTGCTACATTGTTTGTCACAAACTTTAATCCCAAATCCTCTTTTACTATTACTGAGACTGTGTACTAAGAAAAATAAAAATCAAGTTTATTACCAGCCTAAACTCAGTCTTGGAGAGGCCAGAAGGCGGCATGCCATTTAAAAAGAAACTGATTTTTAATATAAACGTAGGATAGGCACAAAGCAAAAATCTCTAGCAGTCCTGAAAGGTGTCGGTGAAAAGTAAAAGTCCTGTATCACAAACCCGTTACACAGCCCTACATCTCAGAGGTAACCAATGTGCTCCTTCCTAAAAGCCTGAGGCTGTGAAAGCAAACGTGCCCCCC